CCCATCTAACTCGAGTTTGGGACCAGAGCCAGTAGGCGAAGGGAGCCACTTTATACTTATATTATTTTAACTAACAAGGTTCAATATATTATAATATAATATATTAGAATCATAATCATTAGCCTGTCTACTTGTTGATAATTGCAAAATAACTAAATAGATAGAGCTTATTTTATCATCATAAAAATAATTTAATTAACAATTTAGTAATAATGAGATAGTTATAAAATGGCGATATTGATATAAATATAGAACGTAGTCCAATTAAAATGTACAATCATGAATTTTTTATAAATAATATCCTAATAGTTTTATATAATTTATTTTAATATTTTAATTTTAATAATAATATTGATAGATATTTAATACGATAAATACAATATAATAAATACTTTAACTATACAATACCATCTAATCTAGATTACATTGTGCCGTCATTGAATATTTAATTTAGTCTGCCTGACAGTGCAATAGCGAGTAGGTAATTATTCAAAAATTCTTATTTAAATACAACTGCGTTAGTCAGTTTGTATGTCAAGTTTAAATCTTTTAATAAATTTTAAAATATTTAATTGTGAAACCTCCGGGAAAATTAATGAGGATATTATTATTTTACTCCACGAATGGAATTTAATTCCAAAAAGTGGAGAATACAAATGCCCTCGTGGTCATATTTTAAAAATAGTGTCACGGAATGATTCTATCGATGGCTTTGTTTGGAGGTAAGTACCTATCTGGCTATCTAGTAAGTACGTTCTAAATCGATCCTTTTTTAACCCAGGTGCCGACGAGGAAAAATACATTTTTCGAAAAGTCACACCTTTCAATATTTAAAATAGTTGCTTGGTCCTATTTGTGCCTCCAACATACCATGCAGTCATTCATTTTGAGTGAGTTAGAAATTATCCGTCATATTATTGTTGATTGGTCAAATTTCTGTCGAGAAGTAATGTTTGATGGACTAGTTGTTCATAAAGTTAAAATTGGTGGAGTGGGTGTTGAAGTGGAATTTGACGAAAGTAAATTTGGAAAACGGAAATACTATAGGGGACACGCAGTTGAAGAGCAATGGGTATTTGGAGGTTTCGAGCGAGGAACCAATAAATGTTTTCTTGTCCCAGTGGAGAAATGAGATAAAACGACATTACTCGACATAATAAAAGAATGGATTTTACCGGGGACAACGATCATTTCTGACTGTTGGAAGGTAATTATTTAAAATTCAATAGATAGGTAATAAATATTTTTTTGAATACTTAAATATTTTAGGCATATGACTGTTTGAATGAAGAGGGATGTTCGAACGCGGTTGACTTCCCGCCGAATCGCCTACGTCGCCAAAGGCTTTCCAAGTCGCGCGATCAGCGCGGAATATTCGCGATAAGTAATTCCCTCTCTACAACCTATATATTCTCCGGCCAATGTCCAGATTTGCGATCGCCCGGGCATCGCCATTACTTTTGTCTTTCGCCACCCGCCGAACCTGGCGTGTGTGTCTGCGGTTTTGCACGTTTGTACGTCCTTTTTTGTGACCTCGTGGTCAACCGACCCATCCCGTGGTTGATTATTTTGTAATATAATTATACCGTGAAGCGTAGTAACACCTCGTAAGTCCCAAGATAGTTGGGGCCTGACGTGTTTGCTACATTGCCGAGCCGGTTTTATATCGCGAATTAGATTTGCCTTCAATTATTCGTCGTCAGGAGCCAGACCAACCTTACCAGCCAGGAATCAATTTACAGAGCGGTTGCACAGGTCTATTTACTACCAACCTTTATTATTATATATTTATTAATTCATCATACGTAAAAAGAATCATCTGTTCTGATTCTTTTTATATTAGTATTACTATACGCGTACCCCGGATTTCTATATATATAAAAATGGAGACAAAAAATTCGAAATTGCATCATTTGAGAACGGCTGGGCCGATTTGGCTCAATTTTTTTTAATGATAGAGAATGTCGGGGAGCGGGTTTATAGCATAAATTATGGACCTAAATCCTGTGAGTTAGAGATTTAGAGACAAAAACTGAGTTACACCGGTGGCGCCCTCTAGCAGATAAAAATATAAATATAATATAAATAATAATACAAATATCGATAATAGCAGGGCTTGAAATCGATTAATATCGATAAAAATCGAAAAAAAAAAATATTTTTATATTCTGGTTGATATACATTTTTTATTATAGAGACTTAGAACTTTAGAGTAAAATAATAATAATAATAATAATAGTTGGCACATTATTCATTTTATTTTGAAACATCGTTTTATGTTATTTATGAATTTTTTCAATCAAAAACGACTATTGTTTTTTGGAGAGAATTTTTATGCTTGAATCATGCCTCCTATGAGAAGAACAAACATTGGACGGCGTACACGTAATGCAAGAAACATTAATGAATTTAGACGTGCTCATAATATACAGGCCCGCGCTGTTTTCGAATACGATTCCGCAGTCGCTTACAAAGATCTTTTGTGTGTTGATATCGGCTCATTATATATCGTATACCAGCATTGCAAGGCATTGAAGTTTCGATTGGAAACCCCCGTCTTATGCTGCGCTGGTGGCAAGGTTAAATTACCAGTTTCAGCTCAACCACAGAGCCATTGTATTCGTTTCTCTATGGAAATACAATCCAATCAAAACATTTCCTGGCGAATACACAAAAATATAACGGAAGTTTTCAAATGACGTCATTTGGAGCAGAAGTTATTGAACAACCAGGCTAYAACCCGAGTTATAAGGTAAAGGCGTTTGTAATAATAACACATCTTTTTTTTTTTTACAAATGACCATTTAAATATTCAGATTCAAGGACAAATTCAMCATCGAGCAGGCGCTTTGTTACCACAACCAAACGAAGATCATAAGTTCCTTCAGATATATTCCGTTGGTAATTCGGAAAATGATCTAGAACAGCGGTGTGCAATTTTTCCTGCGAATAAACGTGAAATAWTCGGASAATTGYAAATTCTTCYGCATGAGCATAATCAATTGGTCAGAATGTTCAAAACCGCATTGGACACAATGCATTCTGACGACCACAAAATCATTATCAGAGCAGACAAAAGACCCTCTGGAAGCCATGAAAGACAATTCAATGCTCCCACTATCAATGAAGT